TCAAAAGTAAGACAGGGGCCCTCACAATCCCAGACTTAAAGTTAGACTACATAACTCTTCTGATAAAAATGCATGAAAAAAATGCATGGTAGTGGCTACAAAAACAGACCTGTGGATCAACGGGACCAATTAAAAGATGCAGAAACAACTTAGTCATATTTAGCCACCTTATCTTTGACAAAGTTGCCAAACACATTTACTGGAAGAACGATAGGCTCATTAACAAACGGTGCTGGAAAAACTAGCATGCTCCATGTCCAAGATTCTAATTAGACCATGTCTTCCACCATGCATCAAACTAAAATAGAAATGGATTAAAGGCCTAAATAGCAAAACAGAAATATTAAATCTAATGGAAGGATAAAAAGGTAGAACTCTTGGAGACTTGGTGTAGGCAAAGATGTTATAAACAAAACCTTGGTACAGGAACTATCACAAAGAATCAACAAGTAGGATCTCATCATATTAAAAGTCTTTTGCACAGCAAAATAATCAACAGAGTGAAGACACAAACCAGTATGGAGAAAAAAAATTTGCCAGCTGTTCCTCAGACAAAGGATTAATATCTAGAATATATAAAGAACTCAAAATTAGGGGCCTGCCCCTTAGCTCAGTTCTTTAAGTGGCTGCTTCAACAAAGCAGTCAGGCTCAGGTTGCTGTGGTTCGATCCCCACAACTGAAGCCAGCCAAACCTGCCCTGAGGTCATTCGGCGAAAAAAAAAAAAAAAAAAAAAAAAAAAAAAAAAACCTCAAAATATAGGACCCTCCCAATGTAAAGATTCAATCTAAACATGGGTATCTGAGATGAATACACACTTCTCAGATGAAGTACAAATAGCAAATAAATACATGAAAAATTTTTCCAATCATTGGTCATTTGAGAGATACAAACTAAAACCACACTGAGATTCTAGAAAAGGAATCTTTCCCCACTGTTGGTGGGACTGTAGACTGGTGCAAACACTCTGGAAATCAGTGGAGAGATTCATCAAAAAACTAGGAAGAGAGATCCATTTTACCCAGGTATTTCCCTTCTGAGTATCTTTTCCCCAAAGTGAAAAGTATCATATCACAGCAATATACACATACCACATTTACAGCAGCACACCTTGTAATAGCCAAACTTTGGAAGCAGCCCAAATGCCTGTCAAATGGTAAATGGATAAAGATGTGGCTTTTTTTTTTGTATTTAGTACAGGGTCTACAGAGTCTCACTACACAGATCATACTCATAATGATGCTCCTGTTTTCAGCCTCTCAACTGCTCGGATTACAGGCCCATGCCACCCCACCCAGTCTCAGTCTCAGCACACCCTGGGAGCGAGACCAGCATAGCATGCCAGGTATTGAACCTCAGTAGCTGTGCTTTGCCTAAAAGGTGCTTTAGTCCACTAAGCTATCTGGCTGGCCCTAAGATGTGGCTTTTTAATACAGTGGTGCACTACTCTGCCATACAGGGTAAGTTCAAGACATTTCTAAGTAAATGGATGTACCTTGATACCACACTCTTAAGCAAAATAAATGAGACACACACATAAATATCAAATTGCTTTTTCATGTGAGAAACTGAAAGTATAAATAAGAACCAAAATGTATAATAGGTACTGTGACATAGGAAGAAAATGTTCAAATGGCAAAAGGATCAAGGGAAAGGGAAGGACAAGGGAAAAGAAAAAAAGAAAGAAAGAAAGAAAGAAAGAAAGAAAGAAAGAAAGAAAGAAAGGAGGAAAGAAAAAGGAAAAGTGGAAACAGGTTTTATAAATTAGAAAAGGAAGGGGAGTTGAAGGGAGGGCAGGGAAATGGGGAGCAAAAAACCTAAATTATATCATGTACAAGTACAAATTCTCTGTGATAAATGTGATTATATATACCTAAAATGTACCAATAAAATCTGATTGGAAAAAAAATTTTCAGGTTCACTAGTAGGCTACAATACAGTGAAAAACTTTCAACTTATAATCACATTGAATTGCTTTATTAGGTTCTTATTGTTGTTTTGAGACAAGGTCTTGCTAATACTTAGTTCAGACTGGCCTTGAATGCACTATGTAGCTCAACCTGGCCTCAAATAGCAATCTTCCTGCCTCAGCCTACTGAGTGCTGGGAGTACACGCATGCACCACCACACTAGGCACTTCATTAGATTTTTTATTTTTTTTAACATTTATTTATTTATTTATTTATTTATCGTGGGGGGGGGCAGCTCAGCCCACCAGGGGGCGGGGCGGGCTGGCATGTGGTGCTGGGGGATTGAACCGTTGTCCTTGCGCTTTGCTAAGCTTGTTCCAAGTAGGTGCTTTAGACCACTGAGCCATCTCACCAGCCCCTTCATTAGATTTTTTTAAAAGCATAGTTATAGTTACAAATCCATGATATAAAATTAAGCATGGTGGTACAATTTATAATCCCAGTACTTGGGAGACTGAGTCAGAAGGATCCCGAGTTCAACACTAGCCTAAACTACATCGAAAGTTCAGTGTCACCCATAACTACACAGAGAGACCCTGTCTCAAATCAAATAAAGAAGAAAAGGAGAAAGAGGAAGCTGGCCTAAATGTAGCAGCACACACTTGTAATTCCAACACTCTGGGAGACTGAGACGAAAGGATTGAAAGTTCAAGACCAGCCTGGTCAGCAAGACCTTGTCTCAAAGGAAAAAAAATTTTTTTCTTAATTTATTATTTTTTAAAATTGCATTTTATTTTGAAAAGTAAAGCCAAAAGCAAGAACAAAAAATCAGAAATTAAAACAAAAACAGGGTAACATACAACAATACATGTTACAGATTTAAAAAAAAATAGCTGATTAACAATGGTGGATATATTATCTTTATCGTCAAATCTGTTGCTTAGATTAACAGATACAGTTATGTAAGATTGGACCTAGGATTACATATTACTGCTTGCTTTGAAGAATCTTAAATTTTTATTCTACTCTCTCTCTTTTTTTTGGCAGATCCAGGGATTGAACTGAGATCCTTGTGCTTTCCAGGGAAGCACTTATTCTACTGAGCCATCTCCCCAGCCTTTTTTCTTTTTTTACCTTTTTAAAAATTTATTTTAAAGAGGGTGTATTAATAACTGATATGACATTAGAAACAGTACACATTAAGAAAACCAAATGTTGGCATCTGGAATGTCTTGTAAAGGCTTGGTCCCATCCTGCGGCACTCCTGGAGGAGGTGGAGCTTTAGGTCATGAGAGGGTGCCCTTGAAAGAGTTGTAGGGCAACAGCGTCTTCCTCTTTTCCGTTTTGACAGGAACTAACTTCCCCTGGTGTGTGCTGCTTGTCACAGGCCCAAAACCAGTGGAGCCAACCACCTAGGGGCTAAGACCTCCAAAACCAAGAGCCAAAATAAAATTGTTCTCACTGGGCATGGTGGCACATGCCTGCAAACCAGCACATGAGAGGCTAAGCCTGGAGGATCACTGCAAATTCGAGGCCAGCCTGGGCTACAAAGTGAGTTCAAGGCCAGCCTGAACTGTATAGCAAAACCTTGTCTCAAAAAAAGCAAAAAAAAAAAAATTCTTTTTGTAAATAAAAGTGCTCTCTCAGTTAAAAAAAAAAAAAAAAAAAGAAAACCAAATGGCTTTTGGTTTTGTCACCCCTGGATTCAATTCCCAGTACACCTATGCACACACACGCGCGCACACACACACACAGTTCATGACTTAATATAGAGTATAACAAAATACAACGAAAGAAAAATACTTTTTTTGATTTTTCTAATTTATTCCCAAGATATCAGGGTATAAGTATACTAGTTAATTTTCAAAGAAGCTAGAGCATCTAACTTAGCTGAGTTTTTTTAGTTTTTTCTTTTTCTTGGCAGTGTTGGTGATTGGACCCAGGGCCTTACACATGCTGGGCAAGCCCTTTACCATTAGGCTACATCCAAGCCCTTTTTAAAAAAATTTTATTTATTTGTGTGTGTGTGTGTGTGTGTGTGTGTGTAGCCAGCTCAGCCCGCCAGGGGGCGGGGCTGGCTGGCATGTCGTGCTGGGGGATTGAACCACAGTCCCTGTGCTTTGCTAAGCTTGTTCTAAGTAGGTGCTTTAGACCACTGAGCCATCTCACCAGCCCCCCAAAGCCCTTTTTATTATTTATTTTGTGACAGAGTCTGAGTTGTCCACACTGGCTTTGAAATGCCAATCTTCCAGCTTCAGCCTGCCAAGGAGCTGGGATTACAAACCTATAGCACTGAACCTGTTCTATGTTTTGTCTTCTTTAAGAACAGCCAAAACAAAATTGTTATTTTCCTACAGTAATCTCAAAACTTTACTACTGTTATACTAATTAGGGCTGCAATATGAATAAAAGCTATATATACATAAGTAATTCATCTAAACAAACATACAAGATTACTGTTGTACATTTTTCTTCCTAGAAAACATTGCATTTGGTACTGTCAAAACTAAAATGCATTATTAGGTACTGTCTGTATATACACTTTATCTTTGATATGTATTAATTACAAATACTATTCTTAATATATAATTAGGACATTAAGAACACACATTCACATTGCAATAACAACTGCTAATGATATTTTTTTTTTAAGACTTGCTCAAAGAGCTTTTGAAAGAAACAAATCTAGCAATTTTACTTCAGATGTAAGACTTATTGCCAATATCATGAAGCCCAAACAGGGTAAAAATCTTAACACTCAAAAACAACAGGCTGTACCACTCAAACCATTCAATTATGGATGGGTGAATGGATAGATGAAGGTACAGACAGACAAACTTCACTAGAGGACTGACTTAAAGTGCTTATCCAAGTCTATCTAGTGTTTTATGAGGTACTTTTCTAGACTCACAATTTTAGGATTTGAACTGTATGCCAATAAGATATACTTATTGAAAACAAATCAAACAATGCCTTGATCTTGTACAGGGCTTCCCAGATTCTTATGCATTTTGAAATCCATTACTTCCTCTGATCAGAAAGTGAGCTAGCTGTATGTTAGTTACTCCTGTGCAATCAGTTGTGCTCTTACCCTTTGTGCTGGCTGATTCTGTGTGCTGGGTACCTCTGGCTTTCCAAACACCTGACCTCGGCCGGTAGGTACTGCTCTTCCCAGAGGTAAGTTCAAAGGTCTAGGAGTTTGTGGCCGACAGCCTGGCATCCGTACATTGTGAGACGGGTGGATAGGAGCAGGGCCCCTGAATGGTGGGCGGACAGGATCCATTGAAAATTTGTAAAAGACCAGGTGTTGAACCTGTTCTGGTTAAATACCTGCAAGCAATTTTAAAAAATTATATTCTTAAATATTTTCCTTTTCATTCAAGAAAAACTCACAAAGCATAAAAAAAACAGCAACTCTGCCAATCATGATCAGCCTTCTATAACATATTCATTTGAAAAGCTTCTATTTGAGCCTGGAAAATCCTATCCCTCAGAGGCCCACACTCTCCTCTAATTTCCTCACAAATTTACATTTTCTACCCAAATAGCCTCTCACAAAATGAGTCTTATACTAAAAGTCTGTGGTAAAGGGAAGTAATTTTACATACGGGGATGACTGTGCTTAATAAACAAGGACCAGGGATATAGCTCAGTGGCACAGCACTTGTTGGGCAAGTGCAAGGTCCTGAGTTTGGTTCCTGGTACAAAACGTTTATAACTAACTTGTCAATAAATGCTTATGGTGTTTTCCTCCCCTATACCAGAGTTTTATTTCTTCCCCAGTCTGTGACTGCATTAAACTCATCACCTTAATCTCCTTCACTGCCTCTCTGAATCCGACCAAGGCCTTCCTATAAAACTCTTCTTCGAAACTCCAACAGAACAGAAGTTTCTAGAGTACAGAGACATTTATCTTAAACCCACAATATGTGCTAGGTCTTCTGAGTTCCATTTAATTAACATCTTCTCTCCCAAGGGTAACCAAAGTTTAGTTTCTTCTCTATCCCCCATCTCCCAAATCTAAGACTTATGAGGCCTCTTTAAAATTATTTTATAAAGCACCTGCAAGCAGGCGCAGGGGCCAGAGGTTTAATCCCCAGGCCTGCTGTGCCAGCCCGCCCCACGGGCACGCTAAGACAGCAATTGAAACTGGACATAGTGGCGCACCCCTGTAATCCCAGCTCTTGGGAGGCTGTAAACAGGTGGATTACTATGAGTCCAGTCTAGTTGTGAGACCCTGAATACCCTGTAGACCCTTCCCTAAAAATGAGTAAAATAAAATAATAAAATTATTTTAAAATCTACAAATTTCAAGACTCCCAATCTAAGGGGTTCCTCTCATTATTCTGACCAGTTCTCTGAAAGAACCCTCCCCCCTCGCTTTTTTTTTTTTTTTCATGCTTAGGATCCAACCCAGGGCCTTGGGCTTACTAAACATGAGCTCTAGCACTGAGCTACTTCCTGGATCCCTATTATTTTATTTTCGAGACCAGGGTCTCCCCAAATTCCTAGACTGCTCTTGAAATTACAATATTTTTGCCTTAGCTTTCCTAGTAGCTAGGACTACAAGCATGTGCTCCCACTCCTGGCAAAGAATTTTTAAAAAGTAAGTGTTCTCAACTTTTGAAAACCTGTCTGTAGAATACTAGTAGCTACAAAGACATCAGGCTGTGCATATGAAGAAAATAACACACACACTTTTAAATCAATTATATTGGTAGCTTTGAACTAGCCTACACTCTTTCAAGAGGGAACTAGCTTTCCCTTCTCAAGGCTACAGAGCTCTCCCCTTTCATTGATAAAATTCTTTTTGATTCCCCCCATGAGCCTGAACTCTTCCCTTACATCTCTTCAGGCCCACACAAGAATCCAGAAAATCAGTTTCCCTAACTGATACAAGGGATGATCAAAAAAATATAGTCAATACTCAAAGGCTCTCATTAAAAACCATACTGCCAAGAACAATGGGTGTGACAGCAGTGCGATTTTTACTTGCAATGAATTTTGTAAACAATCACCAGATTTTCCAAACACTGGATCTGGAACCGTGTGATTTCAGGCTCTTTCCCAAAGTGAAAATAACCACGGAAGGTGAACACTGAGAATCGACTCAAGCCATGCACACAGTCACAACAGTGTAAGACACTGCTTCAGAAACTGGTGAAACCTCTTCAGAACTGGCCAGAACTGCTTCAGAAAGTGGTAAGATGAGGGGTTCAGTGTATTTGAAGCCAATGGGAGTATGCGGGGAGGATTCATGGCAATGTGCCTTTTACTATATAAATATTTTCCCCATTTTTGTAGTTTTTGTTTTTGAGACAGGGTCTTGCCATTAATACAGACTGGCCCTGAACTCAATCGTGGAAACCAGGCTGGCCTCAAACTCACAGAGAACCTCCCACATCAGCCTCCCGAGTGCTGGGATTACAGGCGTGAGGCACCACGCCAAGCTTTTATTCTAACTTTTTTATTTTTTTATTATTTTTTTTAAATTTTATTTATTTATGTGTGTGTGTGTGTGTGTGTGTGTGTGTGTGCACGTGTGCGCACGCGTGGCCAGCTCAGCCCACCAGGGGGCGGGGCGGGCTGGCATGTGGTGCTGGGGGATTGAACCGTGGTCCCTGTGCTTTGCTAAGCTTGTTCTAAGTAGGTGCTTTAGACCACTGAGCCATCTTACCA